AATTCATGTAAAACATTTTTCCCGTCGAAAATTGCATAATTTTTGTACATACCCATTATTTCCTATTTGTAAAATACATCATCTAAACGGACAAGATTAATCTCGAAGTACCACCAGGACACAAAATTTGACGTTAGTTCTCTGCTCGAGATTATGCTCCATTTCAAATCCGCCAGCGCAAACAAATACGGTCTATCTTAACTGGCCGCAGCTCGCAGAGCGCTGGTCAGACCACACTGAAACTTGCCTAGCTATAAGCTAAGACTCCCCTCCATGTTACTGCCATAGCCCCACTCCCCTCCTCTCTCTCAAAGTTCAGCAATAAAACCAGTCTGGAAACATAATAGCCACACCTCGTAGCTCATTTTCCACTCTGACATTACAATGTGTTGAGCACACTCAAATGATAGATTAAGATATGCTGCTAATTCATTCAATGTAATTTGGCAGTCTTCACGTATGTGTTCTTCATCTTCAGCTTTAATAGTGTTTGCATCCATGACTACAGCAGACATTCATGAACATTCATCATCTTCAATATCTGTGAAATGTCAATGCCACTTGAAAATGACAGGTTTTTTTAGAGTTTTTTTTGCCATAGGCTTCTTGAATGAGGTTAGAAGTCATAGTCCCCAATTTCTTTAGCCTGACACAAAATTCAATGACACATCATTACTTTAAAGTAGTGGGAGTTATTTTCTTTGACTGTCATAACAAGCGAAGGTAGTTATCTTTTCTTGGAAGCAAAAATTGCACAAAGCACCTTTGCCAGGGGTGCGAACCCCTGCTCATGATGGTATCTCTCTACTTCTCCATCTCCCTCTTTCCAAAGGGTGGGGGATGCAGAAAGATATGACCAAATGATTTGAGAGCAGGGCTGGAAAGGCATGAAGATAGGAGGTGAAAGGTTAAGGTCACACCAGCCACATTTAGCTACTCACTTTAGTAAAGTGAACCTGTGAAGGAAATGTCCTACACATGTGACACTACTGAATTTTTCCTGAAAATGGAGGGCGACAATTCCAATAAAAGGAACAAATCATATACTGGTTAATGAATTTCTAGTTACATGTCTGCGCAGTGATATTTGGGGTGAATCCTGAAAGTAATTAGTTCATTTTAAGTTTTTTTTTTTCAGGTATAATATGTGCTTTTATCATTTAGAGTTCAAATTCCATTTCCACCATTTTGTAACATTTTTCTTAGTTTCATTTTCTTTGTATGTGTTCTCATCATTTTGCATTTTTGTTGAATATATCTCTCCTAATGATTTGATAATGCCTTCTTGCATTCGGAGACATTTGAAAGACAGGTCATGAGAACTTTGAACCCCCCCAAACTTTTGGGCTGGTTGTGCCACTGACCTTCACTGATGCTGTGAGCCAACTGAACAAGCTACGACAGGAAAGTTTTTTAAATCAGCTGCGCTGTGGTGCTTCTTTGTGGCTTTTCCACAAACTTCTTAATATTGCCTCATGTTGAAAAATTTTAAGAGGATTCGAAAGAGGTGCTTTTGCCAAAATCAACTTTTTGTAATGTGTGGGAGTATAGTATTTTGTGATAATGCCAATTGTTTTTTTGTTTTTTTTTCTGTAGGAGGCCGAAGTGTTGGAGTATGCATTCACCACAAGAGAAAGAAACTGGAGAACCTGCGCACCCTCATTTTAGCCAACAATCATCTCCGGGAGCTCGTTCTCCACTATACAGATGAAGAGTCCCTTGACATTGTCTGTCTCATTTTTAAAAGTTGTTTTCTAAAGAAAGCTGTGATTAATATCTTATTGGTCACCCTTGCTGCTTGATTATGTTGATATGGGGGGGTGTGATAATGATGCTATAGATGGTGGGAATGGGGCGACAAAGGCTTCTCTTCCCTGCCCTTACCATGCTGGATGTTAGCAACAACCAGATATCCATCATCCCTTCTGTCATTCATGAGCTCTCCTCCCTTTCTGTTCTCAACATCTCTGCCAATCCAGGTTTGTCTCCTTTGTTTCAGTCATTTTCTCATTCTTGAAAATTATCAATGTTATTGATAATCAACACAGCTCTGAATTCTATGGTTGTGCTTTTCTTAACATTCTCGTATGATTTTTTCTATTTAAAAATTTTTATTGCTAATATTTTTGTTTTCTCATTATTTCAAGTTTCATATCAACATTTGCCTCAATTCTTACCATCCTTATAGCACCAGTACAGTCATCTTTATTTTATATCATCTTTATTTATTTTTTACCAGACATCACAGAATTGCCACCAGAGATGGGCCTCCTAAATCGACTCTGGAACTTGGGCTGCCTTGGCTGCAACTTGCAGGTTTTCATCCTTCCATTTCTATTATTGCGCTGCTCTCTCAGTTTCTCTTCTCTTCTCTCAGTAGTGACAAATTTCTTTTAGTTGGATGAGAGATGCAAAATATATCTTTGCAGATTCAAGGTTCATCAGCACAGGGTTGAACTGAAACGAAATGAAGCTCAGAAAAAGCACAAATCTGAAAACTTAAACTGATTCTGCTCTTTCTGCAATCAGGAGAAAAACAGAAACAAACTTTAATTCTAATTCTATCCAACTATCTATCTATTTATCCAAACTAGGCTCCAGGGTGCAGGTCCATGGCCTTACTCAGGAGTCTCATCTTATCCTCCTCTTTCTTTTCCTGACTCTCGTACTCTTAAAGTGCAAAAGTTTTTCTAATTTTAACCGAACCAAAACACCCAAACTAAGCCCCATAGATATTCAACTCAAATCCAATCATGTGCACTTTTGACACCCAGAATTCAAACCAAGCCCAGATACAATTCCTTTTATCTATCAATAGAAGGGATCCCTTCTATCTATCAATCTAGCTCAAGGAGCATTTGAACCAATGTAACTAGGTTTATTGTAGCCCCTGCTTGGACCCTTTTATTCTTATGAGAATTTGCATCATTTCCTTAAAGTGTAACATATACCCAAAATTATTTTGCTTCATCTATTTGTGTTTGTCTTAGGATCCACTGCGAGGGATGCTGGAGAGTCACCGCTACAAGACCATAGATGTGATTGGGTACCTGCGTTCTGTGTTGGAGGACTCTAAGCCATATGCCCGACTGAAATTAATGGTTGTGGGCATTCAGGGAATTGGGAAGACTTCCCTTCTTGAGCAACTCCGAGCTGAAGGGTCCACCCTGGTACATGCCAAACGAAAACCACCTGATGTAAGCTTTACTTTACATTAGGAACTGTGAGCAGAATTTTGATTCACAAAAATGTTGTAGTTTCACAACTTTTACTTCACATTCAATACTCTTGAGATATACAACATATACTCCAAATCCACTTGGAATTACTCATATAGTACATAATTTCTAATAAATTCATTGTAAGTGCTTCTCTGTTCCCTTTTCCCCTTTTCTATTTTTCCCCCCCTCCTTTCATATTCTGGTGTTTGAATATCTCTTCCACTCTCCCAAGAGTGCTCACTTTGAATATGTTTGGTTGTAATCACTTACTTCTGGATTGGATATCCTTCTGAGTAAAAATTATGAGATGTTGTAATGGCCAAATAATGATAAGAGAATAATTATTCTATTTTGACATTTGTTACAGTTGCCAGTAAACCTAGAGTAAAGGTCTGACCATCTTCTAAAATTGTATGCTGTTGTGTTACTTTTGCTTCAGAGTAAGTTGTATCATAATCTTTATCAGATGACTGATTATTGTTACACTTCATGATGAAGGATTTTTCAGCTCTCACAAATGCAGTTTTGAATACATTAATGCATCTGCTTGAGTCGTTGTTGAAGCCTCAGCCAAATATATATTCATGATAAATTGTGAGGAATGGGAGTAGTAGGAATGGAAAGGTGTCTTGGAAGATTTCAGGTGTAAAGCCTTGAATTTATGGTCCATTTTACTCTTCAATGTGGTCTTGTGCAGGGAGAGGCCAGGGGCCCAAAACAAGTGCAAACTAAGAGCAAAATAAATATATGCAGGCCTTTCCAGTGGGACCTTAGTCAGTGTATTGCTGATATACTTCTCTCTTTTATTTTCTCTCTCTCATTTGCACTTTCTAGGCTATGTGGGGAGTTCCATCATCACCTACTCCTTACATAATCATGACACCTCTAGTTTACACATTTGTCATCCCTTTCAGTTTGTGATGGTTTGTTTGTAAGGTTTGTAAGTTTGTAAGGTGAACCAGTCCTATATGGGATGTACTGCTTGTCATGAAGCATGTAACATGATGTTATGGATTGGTCTGTTTTGAAGGATGCTCCCTGGTTTTCACTTTATAGCATTGGGGGAAACGAATGGGAACAATGAAGAATGTGAAGCCAGGCACAAACCTGTCCACAGTGGGGGTTGACATAGCTGACTGGATGTGTGAGAGGTCAGGACGGAACACACCCCCAGTCACATTCCGCACATGGGATTTTGGGGGACAGCGGGAGTACTATGCAACCCATCAGTATTTCTTAAGCAAGAGGAGTCTTTATCTGGTTGTCTGGAAGATCACTGATGGGGAGGCTGGGATTCGGTCCCTTCAACAGTGGCTTGTCAATATCCAGGTACTGAATGATTCAGACACTTATTTATTGTTTTTGCTTGAGTGCATGTCATTTTGTCTGTCTGTGTCTGTCTGCACAGAATAGTGAGAGTACTAGAGCCCCCACTCTTCTGTGGTTGCTCCTGTATCAGTGCTATAAAACCACTACTGATATTTGAAGTAGAGCAATGCAAAAAGTAAAGATATAATGAATGCAAGCTATGGTTAGTCTTGATGGATACAAATGGTATGGGGTATTCCACTAGCCCCTTTTCTTCATTCATTTTAAGAATACAAGCATTATTTATCTCAGCATGTCAGGATCAAATATTTTTGTTAATAATTTTTCAAAGGACAATTACTTAGTCATTTAAAAATTTTGCATGTTTTTGTGAACAGGCCAGAGCTCCAAATTCCCCTGTGATCATTGTGGGTACCCATTATGACCTTGTGAAGGACCACTTACCTCCCTCTTATGCTGAGCACCTACAGAGTCTCATTCGCACCAAGTTCATTGGCATCATTGACCCTGACAAATCAGGACTTCCCAGGGTATGCTGTCCTATACTCTCAAACACTCATTGCTTGAGCAAAAATAAATTTCCACTCAGGTTGAAAGTTTACATTTGTTAGAAGCTTATGGGAGAAAGGAAGCAGTTCAGTTTTCCCTGCACTCAAGTTCTTCTTTTCCCATTCCATTGTGAAAGTATAGAAATATCCAGAGAATCAGGCTCCTTGAAGCAAGAGCTGATTTATTACATGAGTTTCATGGCTTCATGAATGGCCATGGACCTTATTGTTGACAGAGTATCTGAGAGTAATGAAAATCTGAAAAAGACAGGTGGGATTGGGATTGAGTGCAGGTGGTGGAGACACTGGAGGTGAGCTGCCGAACAAGGTATAACTTGCGCACCCTGGCCAACCTCATCTATGACACAGCATACTCCCTTCGTTCTCCTGGAGGGAAGGAGAAGCTGCTGGAGCAGAAGATCCCAGCTGTCTACCTTGCTTTGGAGGAGGTCATTGGTCTTGTTGCTGCTCAACGACGGGTGCAGGTCACTTCCATTTCTCCATTATCTTCCCTTTCAACTTAATTGATTGGACTTTTTTTGCAATTTTTCTATCTGCCATTGGCTACAATTCTGATTCACTTCACTGTGTTTGGTCCATAATCTGATAACAGAATGAGAAGTATTGATTCCCATGTCTTATCATAGTTGAATATGAAAGCCTCTCATGGACAAGTATTTTTATTCATAAAAGTTATTACTTTTGCTCTTTCAATGAATTTTTGCTGAGGCCACATAACTGTAATTATGTGTTGCTTTTTGTGGCAATTCATTCTTATGCTAGTGCATAGAGCATATTATTGCTACAGGTTTTGTTGGCAACAAAATCATTTATGATGATAAATATGCTGCTCTTTTGAGATGAAAGTAAGCAGAAGACATTTCTTGAGAAAAAGTATTAAAAAAGCAGAATGTTAAATGTACTTGATGGAACTGAAGATGATTGAGGGAAGATCCCTACTTGATGAATGAGTTCTCTCTAAGTGAACCTCCTAAGTCACACATCTCTGAATCTGATTCCAAGATGGAGTAAAGTTTGAGTGAATCAGCACAGAAGTTCTCACTCTTTTTATGATTTTATTGTTCTCATTTTACTGGCTACATATAGGCAGTGTTTCCAATAAGTGATCATTGGACAACAGGTGTGTTAATAAAAGTCCCAAAAAAAGGTTTTTTCCCCTTAAATACATAATATGTTCCCATATCAACTTTTGAACCTTTGGAAATATGCATTTAAAAAAGCACCTTATATATAAGTAAATAAGACACTGGACTAAACCAGCTAGACCAGGGCCAGATTAAGAAGTTGCAAGGCATGGGGCAAGTGAATTCCTGGGGCTCCCCCCCCCTCCCCATTGCTTTAGGCAAATATTAGGTTGTCCCAAAAGTTTCTTTTGTAATTCGCATGAATGGCGTTGCTAGGCAATAGAACAGCAGATAGTGCGTTCTACCGGCTCTTTTTTGTTTTTTTCACGTTCACGTGTCTTTTCTCTTCCTGACAGTGTGTTTTGTTTGTGGATAAACCGCTTCATTATTTTCGTGTGCATGCTGAAAAATGGATAGCCAGAGGAGACATTTTTGGCATGTGATATTGCACTGCTTCAAAAAAGGCATCGGGGCTGAGGAAACTGCAAGTGAGCTTTGCGGCGTTTACAGGGACCATGCTGTGACTGTCCAGACCGTTCGCACTCTGTCATGCTTGTCACGCACTCTGAATCTTCTGAACCAAGTGCGAACGGTCTGGACAGTCACAGCATGGCCCGTAAACGCCGCAAATCTCACTTGCAGTTTCCTCAGCCCCGATGCCTTTTTTGAAGCAGTGCAATATCACATGCCGAAAATGTCTCCTCTGGTTATCCATTTTTCAGCACACACATGAAAATAATGAAGCGGTTTATCCACAAACAAAACACACTTGTCAGGAAGAGAAAAGACACGTGAACGTGAAAAAAAAAAACAAAAAAGAGCCGGCAGAACGTACTATCTGCTGTTCTATTGCCTAGCAACACCATTCACGCGAATTACGAAAGAAACTTTTGGGACAACCTAATACAATAATTTTTTGTACTTAATGTTCTTAATTTATTCGAGGGATTCCCTGGAAGAGTGGGGCCTGGGGCAACAGCCCCCTTTGCCCCTCCCTCCTTAATCTGGTTCTGAGCTAGACCTATTTTCTAAGGTCTTTTATAGCTCAAATTGACTTGATAGATGATGAAAACAGTTTTCAATGCTGAAATTTCCAAGTTATCTGGTGAAGATAGGGAATCTTAGGGGCCATGATTTGATTGAGGATATAAGTACTCCTGCAGCTAAGAAGAGTATAGTGAATGATCTGGTATGGAAAGGGAAAGCATAAATAAATTTATTTGCAAAGTTTTATCTATGAACAATATGGAAATACAGTGGTTGGAGCTATGAAAGTATGCTTATTCTTACAGTCAATGGTTCGTTGAAAACAACCCACCCTGGCAGTGCAGGCTATGCCTTAAATACACACCCATCAAAAGGTTAAGGAGAATGAAATGAGTTCATGGAAGTCTGGTATAGTTAGACTAGAATGTGCCCCATTTCATTCAAGGTCAGAGGAGTGAAAGAGAATTCAGGTTCAACCAATCTCACATCTAATTTAATGATTTCCCCCTCCCCTCTCTATACTCCTCACTTTGAAATATAGGGTGTGCCTAATGAACATAATTTTTTTGCTCACTTTGAACCCTCAAAAGCAGGAGTGCATCTCATGTATGGTGGGGCACTATATACAAATAAAAACAATACAAAAATACAAAATACAAAAAAATTTGGGCTTCTTTTTTTTTTAGGTACTACGTTCTTGCCATGTGTTTGTTGCCTTTCTTCCTTGTGCCTTATTCTGTATGATTATTGGTACTGTAGTTATCTCTTTATTTCTCCATTCAGATTTGCTTGTAATCTGTACTCATCTGATGTGCCTACTGTCTACTTGTTGATAGGGAAAGGACCCAGTGCTGACAGCAGATGAGTATCACTTCCAAGTGTCTCATGAGATGGCATCACGAGGCAAGGGATTTCGTGACATTGCAGAGCTCAATCAGGCCACATCTTTCCTCCATGAAAATGGTCTCCTCCATCATCCCTTACTTCTCATACTTGTGTTGAGTCCAGCATGAAGTCTGTTCTCATTTTATCGAAGGCGTGCTCTTGCACTATGAGGATGCAGCCCTAAGGGACCTGTACTTCCTGGACCCACAGTGGTTGTGTGACATGCTGGCTCATGTTGTCACCATTCGGGAGATCAACCCCTTTGCCAAAAATGGTTTGTTTTCATCATATTCCATTATTGATCTCATACAATTCTGGTGTGTGTTTCATCCTATTCATTAATTGTGTTGATTTTTTGTCTCATTTCTTCTGCCATCAGTAGGGAGCGGATCTTTATGCGCTAATAAATCCTGAAATATGCACATACATATGCACTTAAAAAGGCCAAAATATACATGAATATGCACAGATATACAGAAATATGCAAATGCTGAGAAAAACGTGAAAATATGCATTTTTATGGGTTTTTAAAATGATATAAATGGCTTCCTCTATCAATGAGACATGATCCTATCTGGGTTGCATGTTCATAGGAGGCTGCAGAAAAAATATGCATTTGCATAAAAATCTGCTCCCTAGTCATCAGGGTGGTTTATCATTATTGTTTACATTTCATGATATGTTTTATAGGATCTGGTAATTGGCTGTGGTAAATGCATTTTATTAGGGCTTTGAATAAGATTAGATCAACTGACCGCATAATTTATTTAGGTTTAATCATGGTTTAAAAAATTACTCAAAGTTAATTGCATTTTAATCTACCTGAGAAAATCTCTCCCCAACCATTCTGTTCTCAAACAATAGCTTTGGGCTTCTTGGAGAAAGGACCAAATTTAATGTTTTGTGAATGAAATCTGATGAAATGAAGGCCTATTAGAATGCAGTCATGTTTGCATGGCTCATTCTTCTGTAAAAGATTTTCATATTATTTTGGAAAAGGAAACCTTGGAAAAGCAGATGTGAGAAGATAGAAATGACATCCTGCAGTATGATAATGAAGCATTCCCTTCTTCCAAATGAGTGCACCACATGCTGATGTTTTTTATTTATATATTACCATAGATTTTATCATGATCCTAAGAAAAGCAGGGAACCTGGACTTTCCCATAAGAATAGTTTGATTTGAAGAATGATTTGGGCCAAGATGCCAAGTGGTATTTTTGCCTCTGTTGACATCAAGTTGAAATAAACTTTCATATTGATTAGTCAATGCAATCATCTATAATCAACAAGGGTAATCATGTCAGGTGTGATCTACAGCTTACTACATAGCATGTTGTGTGTGATCTCCCCCTCCCCCCCGATTCGTCGTTTGTCTACCCTTTGCCAGTAATACTGTTGTATAGTACATGTCCACTTAAGAATTACTGTCAACTTTGGCATGACCATCTCTCTGGAGCATATGCAGGACTTTAGGAAGGGAAAGCTCAATATTAAGACTGCTGAAGCATGTGGGGGTGGTTGCAACGAGGCTGATCAGTTGGGGGCATTGTCAGGTGCCAAGCCCCTGGGTGCCAACACCCTGTGTCCACCATCTCCCTGTGTAAGCCGCTGAGAGTTGAGAGTAATCCTTAAGTGGACATGTACTATATATGCTATTACCCCCTTTGCCTTGCCTTTCACCTTTCCTGTCATTTGAACCCCTTTCACTTCAAGTATATGTATAGAGCTGTATGTGGTGTGGCTCAACAAACCTGCCTCTGTGGCGAATGAAGCATCCCAAGTTTAGCTGAATTGGTGTAGTCAATTTATTTGATTGAAGATGACACTGTGGTCTGAGCTGAAGTTTAAGGTCCTGTGCAACATGCAAGGTACCTCTCGGCAACTTCTCTCCTGGTACCTAATAGAGGAGTGATGGCAGGGACTTGAACCCACATCTGGCGACTTTTGAAGGCTTTGTCCATGACTTGAAGACCACTTTTGTGGATTGAGGGTGTTGCATTTAGTGAAAAGGACTTCTAGCCTGATATGACCCAAGACTACACTTTGACAAGGGCTCTAACTTGGGTTGGCTATTTTTAGATGTCTGTACTTCATTTATTGTTTTTATATTTAGGTATTATATTTAGAATCAAAGATGAAATATTCCTGACTAACCTTTTGATGACAGCATTCATGCCCACTTGCTCATTGATCACAGAGTTCAGTGTAGATCACACCTGACATCCAAAAACAGCATGCAGATCACACCTGACACAATTACCTCAACAGAACCTACAAGAAGTAGGCCTTGTAACCACATAGACTTTACTTGGAATGGTATATTATCTTCTATTTGCTGCATTCAGAGAGAGGTAAAAGGCTGAAATAAGATTCACTCGGCTATATAAGGGTTTATTTGAACCTGTTTCGTATTTATTTGAATTTTTATGCTTTTTTAAAAACTGTATGTGGGGTGGTCAGAAAGTTCTTAGCCTGAGGCACTTCCAGTTGCAGTACACCATTCTTACTCTTCTCATGGGAAGATAGATATCTTTGAGGGTGACAGGTGAAATTTCATCTTATTTGTCAATTAGAGATTGCTTCTATTAATATCATTAATCAGCAAATAAGATGAAATTTTGCCAGTCACCAGCAAAGACATCTGTCTTTCCATGAGAAGAGTAAGAATGGTGTATTGCATCTGGAAGTGCCTCGGGCTTAGAAATTTTTCATCACCCCACATACATTTGATACTGCATTCACCATTGTAGCATGTGATGGAACCTTAGCTGTATCACAAGCAAGAATTAATTTGGCATGGAATCGGGATATTAAAATTTTTTCCTTTATTATGAATGAACAGGGATCATGAAACTACAAGACTTGAGCCTGGTGTTCAAGAACATATCATGGACCCCCACAAAGCAGAATTACTTGGTGAATTTGCTGAATAAGTTTGAGGTGGCCTTGACATGGGACTCTCGTTCCCTCCTCATCCCATCGCTCCTCCCATCTGAGATCCAGATCCGAGCTGGCATTCCTGGCTGTGAAGTTCGGGTATGTCTTCATTTTTCTGGCTCTATCTTGTTAATTTGAACTGTGGAATGATTGGTTAATGTGTTTTACTTGTAGATCCCAGTGCGTTCCCGTACCTGGGCCTTGCGGCCACATCGGTTGTCCACATCTGAATGTGAAGGTTGGTTCCTTTTTTCAGGGAGTGAAGCATTCATGCAATGCAATCTCTTCTATATGGTGGGCCAATAAACTTAAAACTACTTTATAAATTCCTGTATCATTTAAGTGAATGCACACTCTTGTCCATTGTCATTGTTTCTGCAAAAACTGGTTGAAATTAGTGAAGAGAATCCAGGGATATGAGCACTTAAAAAGTTTGATAAGAGAATTGATATGCACTTGTTGTCATTGAGATCTAAAAAATATATAGTCATTTGAGTATATCATTCAGTCATCGTTGTATTTGCCATTGTAAGAGGCTTTGAAAGCCCCATGAGTCAAGATGTTCTAAAACTGCCTGTTCATAAGAAGAGTGCCCAATCTGTGCAAGCCAAGCCATATGGGCTTCACTGCCAAGTGCAGATGACAGATGGTTGTGAGGGAGTCTTTCATCAGTGCATCTGCCAGATATTCTAAATGGTCGCTTTCAATTTCTCATATGTTTGAATAATATTGACTGATTTCAGCCTGCTTTTGCAAAAATGGACAAAAGTGGAAAATAGACAGCAACAAAAATATTAAAATTACATGGACATCCATATGCTCATTTAAAAGCTACAGGAAATTTAAAAGTGACCCCAAATTTATCAGCTCTCAATGTACTTCATGTCATACATGGAACTCTGTGCAAGCAGTCATAAAAAGTGCTTACTGCAAGGAATCTCTAACTTGTTGCATATCACTATTATCACTGCAACAGTACAACGCTGGCATACTGATAACTGCTTTTATGTTACTTTTAGTTTTAGTTGTCCTTCAAGAACATTGCCTTTAGTTGCATTACTTCCTCTTCAAGCACTTGCCTTGCATTTTGTTTTATATCCAGAAAATTCTGCACATTTAATGAATGTGGCATGAAGCACTACTTGATTTTGTGTCATGATAACCTGTGAGCATGAACTATTTTTGTCACCTTGAACCATGAACTGCTGTGCAAGTGTCATGACAAACTATTATACCAACTCATATAATGCACCTCATATAACTTTTTCCAGTTGGAGTACAAATAAGATTATAAAAGCCAACATGAAATTTTTAATATATCTAGATTTGTGTTTGATAAATGCTTGGAAAAATGAAATCTAATAGTGAAGAGGCTTTGTCAGCAGTACATATTCACCAATTTAGTATTTGGTAAATATGTATAGCTAAATACAGCTAAACCCAGTTGCTGCAGAGTAGACCCTGAAAGCTTTGAGCTGTTTCACTTTACCTGAACCAAGTGCAATTAATTGACTTCAGAGCACCTCCTTAGCTAGACTCTATCAATGTTGGCTGTCTGCAGGTATTTCAGACTCACAAATATCTGCACTATATCAAGACAATATCATTTCCCTTTTCATTTGGGATTTGGGATTCATGTCTTGCCTTCAACTACAGAGCTTCTTTTGCTTGATCCTTTCATGGTGTATGATCATTATAAGGTTAATATCTTTTGAGACTGCTCTTGCGTTATGATTGAGCAAAACTGGTTTCATATGGTATTGCTTAAGAGCTCATGACGATGGTTCTTCGATGATGTAGTGTTCATTAATATAGGTTAGGTTGTAGTTCAGGCAAGTTGGATCAAAAAGAAAAGGTGTAATATAATTTTTTTTATTTTTGTGAAATGGAATTTTGAAAGAAGAAAAATGTAGAAAATTTTTTTTTTTATTAAAGGGAAAAATATGCCCACAAGCTGCAAGAATGAAAGGATGAAATTGAGACAAAGGCCAAGTTTTAGGGGCTCTCTGTGTGTGAACCATGGCCTGCTGTTTGTTATGATCCTTAGAATCATCAGCTGCTAAGTGTTATCATATAGTGTAGTGCTATGTACTTGATTATTATACTTATTATGGTTTGCTCCTCATTTCCTTTTCCATGTCATGAATCCAGCTTTTCTCTTTATTTTGCCAACAGCTGAGAAGATGAAAGCAGTGTCTACCATAAAGACTATATTATTTGTTAACTGTCAAGTCATGATTGGACACAATGATACAATATTATATTTTATTGCAATTTTTTTTCCAAAAATAAATAAAAGTGTGTGAGAGAAAGATTTTTCTTGTGAAATTGTAAATACTCAGATTCTAAGGAATATTTTGAAAATGTATATCCCTTATTAGTCAGAGTTTTGGCTGACAGAGGGAAAGCAGGCAGAAAGACACAAAGGCAGGCAGAAAATCATGCCTATACTATGAATTTTCTGTGGTAGTCAATGCTTTCTCCTGCATTTGCTATACTATATGTTAACTTCTGCTCAGAGATTGATAGCTCCACAGCTTGCATAAGAATGCCATTTCTTGCTGCTTCAGAATGCTCTAGGAGAGTCTCTTGAAAGTATGGCTGCATCACTCTTGAAGTTTTCTAGTTGTCTAGTCTAGAAAAGCACTAGTTGTCTCTTGCCCTGGGACAGAAGTGTAGCTTTTACATTGTGATCTCATAACTTTTGACTGGCTTTCATCTTCTGTAGCCTCAATATAGATTTTTTGGCAAAGGTGTAATCTCAGGTAACCATCCAGGTAGAGAGGTGAAAATCACTGCATTTCTACATGAAGCTCATGCCCTATCATGTTTGGGCTCTTCAGAGTGAAATGAATGCTGTGGAGATAAGATCATTGGTACTTGTTCTTATCCTCAATATGACTTCATAGACCTGTCAGCTGATCTGCTAGTGCCTCATGGATGGTGAGGCAAATGAAAGAAATTGTTGCAGAATACCCTGGAGGTGGCCGTACCAATTGTGTTCATGAGTTTACAAACTCTTTGTATCAGAACCTCTTATTCGGGGCTCCCCATGTCTTCTACACATGGACTAGGTCATGAAGCTTTCACTCCTCCCCTGGTCTCTGTGTGGGGTAAGTGCTGGGTATCAGCAGGAAGAGGAGCCTCACTAGGAACAATGTGATCATGCACCCTATATTTTCCTCTTGTGTGATGGTGTCTACTTCCCTCCTATGCTTGATTGAATGAACTGGAGGTCCATCAACACCCTGGGTAATGGAGTCAATGCTTGGACACTTTTGTTCTGCTTTCACTAACAGAAGCCAGTGAGAAACAGCAAAGAGAGAGGATCCCTTTTGAATTGAGACTCCCAAATAGCACAAATTCATCTAGTACAAAAAGGATAGTTTGGCTACAACTTTTGTAGCAATTCACTTAACCCTGACTAGGGTTGCTTGACAATGTATTCTGACAATAGAAACTGCTATATCTTCAGTGCGGCATTGCCTGTGCTATATCTTGAAGTTCAGGTCTCATGTGTCAATTTAGATGGAGGTGGACTGAGTCACAGGGAAACAGGAGTAACAGTGAGTCACATGACCCCCAAAGGTGTGGAACCCCTACGTCGTCTCCTCTTCATCTCCTACTTCCCAGCTGGGTTCTGGTCCCGCCTTCTCACACGCATCCTTGCTGATGACTCCTTCATCAGCATCATCCAGGCCTATTTTGATGCTCCCAAGCAGGTCTTGTTATGTCCTGTCAGATCTCTGTTGCAAATTTGGTAACCTGCAGTCAAAATGGAACTCCAGAGGTGAATGAGAGTAAAGATACAACAATATTTTATCAGTTATTAGTGACTGCCCATTGACTACCCCTGTCTGTGGGGGAAGTCAATGGACAAACTGGCAATGAAATGTCACATATGCCAGGACAAATACAACAAGAACTATAACTTATGTGGAAGTAGAAGAATGCAAATTGCCTCCAGAAGGATTTTGGTCCTCTTCTTGTGTCTTGGATGGAGTCCATTGGACACTTGTGAAAGAAAGGTCAATGTGAGCCATTCCTTCTAAAATTAGCAAGAGCAGGGCAAGAGGGCCCAAAGATTTGGTCATTGCACAGCCTTTGGGCAGCAGACTTGCAAGCCACAACATGAAAAATTTTTGCTGTACAGTATAATAGGCCAAGTGCCAATGGGGTGTGGTTGAGCAAAAGCTTCAGGACTATATTTTATCAAAAATATGCACCAGTTGAAAGTTTTAAACAAATACCTTCAATTGATATTGTGTGAATCTTGTTTTTCTGCACATGACATCTCAGAAGAAGAAAGATTTCCACCATGTTTTGAAGTTTCACCCTGTGCTTCACTTATAATAATTTGCAAAATAAAAGTCCTGAATATCTCAGTGAAGAAGAATACATGCCATGACTGCTCCTTGCCTTGTGTCAGGTTGGCCCACTCTAACATGGCAGAATGCAGGCTACAGGCTCTCACAGTGAAAAACTCGTTTTTCATGCCTCATATCTTGTGTTATCATGGTTCTAGTTGGATTTTAAGTAATTTTATTGATTTTAAAATTTTTACTGTAGGTCTAAATTGCTCTACTCTATTCATTAGAGATTTCATGTGCAAAACAACCATAATAATTGCTCATTATTGGTGGGAAATACTTCTGCAAATATATTGGGATCCTTTCCTTTTTTAAACACAAATCAATCATGTTTCAATTCCTGAGAGGAATTCACCATATACTTAGCTGATCTCTGAGACATCTTGCTATATATACTCAGTCATTTTAGACTATGCTAAAATTTAGTATATGGTAAAGGTCAGCAGGGAAGTTTCTTCTTCACTGCAATTTTTCATATGGGGTGTTGCAAAACTTTTTGCTAAGGGGTTCCATAAAAAAACTGAAAACAGCACAAATAAAATCACTGCATCAAATTTAAAGTAATTCATTTCCAGATCCAATGACATTGATCATTTGTGTGCCTGATGCCTGAGATATAGCAAATGCAATGGGTATGATTGGAGCAGGTTTTCAAAGCGATCCATCTCTTTGAAAGCCTCATTTTGAAGAGACCTGGAGCATGAGATGGATCTCTTTGAAAACCTGCTCCAATCCTACCCATCGCATTTGCAGGCAAATGGCATCAGGCAAATGGTGGGTACATTAACTATTAATATGTCATTGGATCCAGAAACGAATTACTTTCAGTTTGATACAGTGATTTTATTCATGCTGTTTTCAGTTTTTCTGGGACCCCCTTCTTTTTCTTTCGTATGGACGTTGAGTAGCATCTTAAATGTCTATATCCAAGTGTGTTATCCAGGATAGTGCTTCAGATGTCAGGTGATGTATGTCCTGGAGGCTACCAGAGAATTTTCTCTTTGAGCAATGTGTCTTGATGTGTTGCAGGGTTTGATCAGGGGCTCCACTATCACGTGATGAGGATAGTTTAATTTTCCATCGATAGAAGAGTTGGCCACACCTCCCGTGTCCAGTGCGGATATGGTTGATGATAGATCACTCTTTGTGGGGAAGTGACACTCCTAGAGGTTGTTGAGTTGGCTCCAAGACTAGGTCCCTGTTCAGGACATTGGAATTGTTCCAGGCATTCCTCCATTGGTCCTCTAGGCTGGACAGTGTTCGATGGAGAGTACCTGCAGTAACCCAGAACGGTTTCCTTGATTTGAGACAAGGTGGTGGCAGGTTGTTGAGGTCTTCATGGATGGGCAGGTCTTGGTTAGTGTAATGGTGATATTCCCTTGACACCACAGCTTCCCAGCGAAGTGATGGAGGTGCTATGTTTATGAACACCAGGAGCCATGGTATGTGGATGTGAGGGTTCCAGTGATGGTTGAGTTCAACTGTACGTCAACCACATTCAGGTGTGCACTCGAAAGCCATGCTGGGCAGCAATAATCAGCAGTCAAGTACACTAATGCGAGGGATGCGGTGTGGAGTGTTTGTGCATCAGCCCCCCAAGATGATCCAGCAAGTTTCTGGATCAGGTTGACCCAGTTTTTCAGTTTCTTGCCAAGGTCCTGCAAGTGCACTCAGTAAGATAGTGTCCGGTCCAAGGTGACACCCAGGTAGCTGGGGGTGGTAGTGTTGGGTACCTCAAAACCACAAAAGGATACACTTGGGTCATTTGGTTTGGTGATTGTTGAGGTAGAATGCTGACACCATGGTCTTCTTTGGGTTGGGCCAGAGGTGCCAGTGGTGGAAGTATTCTTCCATCTTCTTGTGGTCAGTTGTGAGGGTTCTTTCAGTGGTGTTGAGGTCCATGCTTTGTGTAGCCAGCACAATGCCATCTACGTACACAAATTTCCTGGATGCACTTTCAGGCAAATCGCTGGTGTACACATTGTATAGCATTGGGGCTAGGACAGATCCCTGGGGGGAGTCCATTATTGAGGATCTGATATCTGCTCTTCTGGGTACTGATGTGTACCTGAAAGCAGCAGTTGCTCAACATGTTAATGAGAAGGCGGATAGTCATTCAGCATGATATGATGGTGGAAAGTGGGACCCCCTAACAAAAGATTTTGCAACAACCTGTACATTAGCTTTGAAAAATTATTAAATGAGTAAAATTTGTTAAACTGGAATAACATATGCAGAAAAGCCAGTCTTACACTGCAGCAGATGATGAATCAACACCTTGACTGCCAAAGGATTTAACCCTTTCATGGGCATATTTTTTCTTAAGTGCAGCCTTCCCAGAGCACAGGGAGGGTCGAACGTTTCCTGGGAAATATACTTCTCAGTGCCCATGAAAGGGTTAAATGTCCAGCCAACCTCTCCTTGCCAAGTATGACAGTGAAGCTTCACTGTGTGAAACACACCAAATGGCAAGAATGGCAGTGAAAGTGTCAAAGATAAACTGTTGCCTCTGTTGAGACGATTCTGCTTGGATGACACCACACTCCTATCTTTGTGCGACACTTTCTCTTATGTATTTTTTAATTTTTTAAATAGCCTTGCAGGCCACACAGAAGCACTCTTTGGGTTGCACTTTAGGCACCCCTGAGCTAGCAGGTGAGCACAATTGTAGAGATGCAACAATATTGAATTTTTTCCGATATCTGATATGCCGATTCTGATATTGGAAAAGAACAGATACCAATACCAATAACTGATACTGATATCTATTTCTACATTCATAGGTGGTGATTTGTTAAGAAATTTGGGAGGGCTCAGAGACAGTACTCCAAGTATTCCTTATTCTTCTGCCAAATTTTTTGGGGGGCAGACAAAACATTTCTTCTTTTGGTGAGAAGAAATGTTTTGTTTATGCTGAAGCCTGGCTCTTTAATGCGGATTTTTACACATTACACTGGATTTACATCAGGCATTTTCTTTACTATGTTCCATCATAGAACTTGCAAAAAGTTGTAACAGCAATTACTTTTTTCAAAAGACAGTTAAGAAAATGTCAAGAATGTCAAAAGTTTCCTCCTTACTTCCAATGGACACCCAGAGGGACATGACTGACAGATTGTTAACACACCATCAGGTAATTTTTGCCATGCGAATGAAATGCAAACATAACTGCTTTTCGGGAAAATTTCTATGGTGATTAATATATTTATTATATTACAGAAGTATTTTATATACAAATATATTTTTGTAATACATTATACAGGGTGATAAAGAAGTCACTGTGCAGTACAATTCATGATATGATGTAGGAAGCCCCATTGTAGATGGGATGTACAGACATTAATGTGCATCATGGATGGTGCAAATATTTGATGAAGTATTGTGTGTGAATTTCTGTCTTTGATGTCATACATCATATGGAGAATAGTAGTAAATAAAAGCCACAAAATGAATTAATTTCACTGCACAGTGACATCTTGATCACCCTGTATTATAAATAAATATAAATATAAATATTTAAAATAAATTAGGGCTGCACCGACGTATCGGCAACCACCGAGATTGGCCTCTGGTGTTGCACCATTGACCGCCATGGCCATCGGTAGGGTTGCAAGCTGCCGAAGTCGAAGCCTGGATGCAAAATGGGGGGGGGGGGAAAAAACTATGTGAGTGTGTGAACGTGGCTTGGCGTCGGCCCTCCTGTCTCACTGAAAGCCTCTCCTGCCGCCCTCTCCCAGACAAATATATATATTTCGGATTATATTTCAGCTCGATTGCAGGAACTGGTGGAGGAAAATAGCTGTAAAGGACCGTTAAATTATTGCACCTCCTTTTATGATATGCATGAGCGAGAGGTACCGTTAACCCCTTAAATGGACTCGCCGCATATGTGCGGTCTGGCACCTGCCATCTCTCAATGGACTCGCCGCACATATGCGTTCGCGTGTTTTCTGGCTGGTTTACAATGGATTCGCCGCGTATTTGCGGTAAATTTTGCTGTGATGGGACTTGTTGAAATATCTGCCGATAGATGGCAGAAGCTTTTCTACTATGAGCAGTAATTACTGGTATTATCGGTGGATTATTAGGATCCCCCCGTGAAGCACTGTTTTTTCCATCAATTGCAGGTTCCTCATTTGATAAAAAAAATGACTGACATTATGAACAAGGGATTGTAATGTTTCAGTGGATATCTACACGGTCTTACAATACACAATAGGCCTGCTATGAAATTTTGAATGTCTATCTAACATAATTATGGTAAAATTCGTGAAAAGGGGAATACAAGACAAAGCAAGTTTCTGGTGCAACAGATGGCCCTGAGACCCATACATATGCAGTTACTTGCATATCAATATCTATTATAGTTAAATTTTTATGCTTAATTAAAGTCATTAGGGTCTAGCAAGCAAAAAACCAGAGAAAAAAGGTCCCATCACAGATCCATCTTTTGCAAACCAAAGTTCCCAGTTAAGGGGTTAAGCGCTCTTAGCAGCAATAGGTAAGAAGCTAATCACTGACGTTCGCAGACAGACTGGAAAGGACTAAAAGTGGTCTCTATCGTTTTCAGGAGCCTCACTAAGTATTACAAGGCTTCCAAATAGGCTCATTTGAATTCGTATGCGATTTCAGGTTACTTTCTTCTCAATCTATAGACCATAAATCCGCCCCGGCTCCGGCACTGGCCGATGGGTGAGTTCAAAATGAGCGGACTATTAGTCCACCGACCTAATGTGGCCATCGGTACTCCCCTTCAAGATTCAAGATAGTTAGTGATATCAAGAGGCGATTTCACCCATTTCGATATCACGTGTCGAGGTCGATTGTTCCTTAAATGAATATAAAGATGATAAAATTATTGAAAATAATTTTATCATCCAAAAGGAATATGTGGGCACGAAGGAGTTGAAATCAGACTATTGTCTAGCGATTTTTTGTGCCTAAGTTTTGGGATCCATCCAGGCCTGGGTTCTCCGCGCGAACACAAACGATGTCTATTTTCGCAGAAAGCACGGAGTAGGCTATGGTAGTGGCATTAGGCCGAGTCAAGTAAATAACCCTTCTTATATCTCTCTCTTGGGTGACTGGCTTGTGTCCCGTGGCAGGGGGGCTGAGTTCGAACCTAGCCGAGTAAGGTGTATATTTCCTAGTGCAAGCGCCAGCGTGCTTGGGAAGGGAGTACCTGAGCACGGAGCGCTTCTATCCCTAGATGTGGGACGTTGAAGAACCGCGGTGGTGAAGGTCGAACGCAGGTGGCATAACCCCAGATTATGATGGCGGTTAAACCAAACGCGAAATGATTTTAGACCTCTATCGCAGTCGATAAGGATGTAGGCATACTACATCACGTGCTTGCGACAGGTAGCAAGTTGTCACTGGGAGACACCGACTCTCAAATAGGGGTGGGGCTTCAGTGCCTAGCGGCCACTCCCAGCCCAAAGGGGAAAAATGCGTACATTTTCTGCAGCCTAATACTTCTTTTTTCATGAAAACATGTCATTTCGGCACTTTCAACCTTCTAGTGTTTTTCACTTGAGTCAATATATTTTTTCACTCGACTTCAACACTCATGCTTGAGGAACGTCCCATGAATCTCTGTCTTAGTCAAGGGAAATGTTGTCTAACGCACGTGAAAAACACTAATGAGAAAAATGAGAGAATATTCATCATTCACTATACATACTCAGCGTTTGGCATATTTCAGGTGTCGTTCCAATATCGGTTATCGGCAGGTCATATATCGTTTCGGGCCAATATATCGAATTCACCCAATATCGGCCGATACCGAAAACCAAATAAATTACACAATTACACTATTTTCTCCGATTTTTATTAAAATTGGCAGAGTTGTTGAGGGATTTACATTAAGAAACCATTTTGAACCCTTCTTTATCCCATAGCATTTTCTGAGTATCTTCATTTGAATGTCTGTTTTGGCTTTTTTATGCCTGGTGCTTATTTGGACTGGAGCTGTGAAAGTGTTTAAGCAGTAACTTTCCTCCTAATTTAGATAGAAGCTTCATTCTGATGATGTTTTAATTGCAAAATTTCCCACTTTCTGATGATACTACACACAAACCTTCAAGACAAATATGCAAAAGTCCATTTGATCATACAGTTTGACCAACTTCAGTGGCCAGTTGGAATATCATCATATGGCATGACAATATTCATTTTAATTACTTATCTAAGCAAGAATCATTCAGCATTTAGATTAGCTGTCTATTGCATGAATTATGAAAATGTAGCAGAAAATGTGGTGTCAGTTATCATTTTGCTTCCTTTATTTTTATGTTTCACTATTAATTTTTTTTTTTTTTGGGGGGGGGGGGGGAGCAAT